TTTCCCCCCAACAAGCCCCCCGACTTATCTTCCAACAAGCCCTCCAAATAAACTCATCTCCCCACCCTATTCAACAAAAATACATGTTCCACTTGATCCTTGACATATCGAGCGTCAACTTTGTAAAAACAACGGCGATGGATACAACATTTTAACTTATCCACCTCCATGTTTTGGAACGCATCAGCGTGGGCACGGCGTCGTTTAAGTAACACACTCTCCACACCCTTGCCGCGACGGCGACTCTTGTACGTGTATACTCTCTTTTTAAAAGGTGATGTCTCGCTGTTCGCAACACTGCGACTGGCCGGACTTCGTTGCGATGGGGGTCCATTTTTCGTTCGAGTGTTAGAGGGCGGAGGGGGACGGTACTCAGCGTCACTACCAGATTTAGACAACTCATCTTCATCTTCCAGTGTTCGATATTCTGCGGCATTTGGCGTAGCTAGAGCATCTTCTTCTTGCAGTTCGGGTGGTGAAGATTCTGCTGCATTTGGGGTAGCTGGAGCTACTTCGGGTTCCGCAGCTATCCCTCGGGCTGCAATTACCAATGAGCGGATGCTCCACAATTTACGCTGCACTGTACCGGAATCCAGCGAAACACTTGATGACCGCCTTTGGGGCGATCGTCGTATCGCTGTGGTCGGGCTGGGTTGATTTCGCATGGTAGAATCCGGGAGACATGGTGAAGTGTGTCGGATGGGAACATTAAAGAGTTGCGTTGTGTCTGGCGGCGTTGAGAGTGGTGTGTGTGAAGTTGCTGGCGTCGCAGAAAGGGCGCGACGCTTCCCGTCTCGCAATCCTGAGCTTTGCGAGTTCTGAGCAGTGGGTGAGGCATCTGTTGGCGGACAACCTCGTTTACGACTGCTCCTTGGCGTTTGTTGGGGATTCACAGGGCGGGACTCAGGGGTATGTAGAGTGGTTGGCGTCGCGAGCTGCACGCGACGGTTCCCGCTTCGTAGTGGGGTGCTTTGCGAGTCCCGAGCAGTACTACGCGGTGATGTGCGTGGGGGAGCCACAGTGCGGGACTCAGGGGTATGTAACGGTTCACCATGGCTCGAGCTACTCGCTTGTGCAATAGAGCGCTTTGCACGAGTCGTACGCCTAGTCGTAGTCATTGGAATGGTTCTGAGATGGGTTGTTGCCCCCAACAGTTCAGATGGGTTGTTGTGGATTGAGATGGGTTGAGGAACTTTATCGCGGAGACCAGGATGGTACCCTCTTTACCTTTTATATACTGGAGCGTGTATCAACTACAAGCACTGCAGCACGAGAATTCAGGTGATGGTGGGTGCAGCTCCTCACGAGCAGCAGCGATACTGTTCTGTGGAACAGATAATGCCTGCTGGATGACCAGTTTAGCTATCCGTGAATACTGATATTCACTGAGCAGGTACGCCGAGCTATGAATGGTTGGCTGCTGTCTCTGCGCTACCATGAAGAAGCCTGTAATGGAAGCTTTACAGATCTGAGAGAGCGCTGTTTGAAACATATCTGAATCAAATATTTGGGAGATTGCACCCAAATCATATGTCGCACTAAATTTGATACGCAATGTTCACCATGTCCAAATATAGATTTTTCATTCCACATTTCAAGAGAACAGTTATGCATTACTGATATTTAGTTTTAGGTTCTCACAATCATGACACGTTTTCTGCTGT